TGCACAAGGGGATCAGGGCAGCCTCAGTCAGTTCACAGGGGACACCAAGCTGGGTGGGAGTGTTGATGTGCTGGAGGGCAGGAAGGCTCTGCAGAGGGATCTGGACAGGCTGCATCGATGGGCCCAGGACACTTGGAGGAGGCTCAACAAGGCCAAGTGCCGGGTCCTGCCCTGGGCTCACAAGCACCCTAAATCCCTGGCCACGGCCTGCAACTGGTCCCCACAGCCTGTCCTGTGTCCTGAATCCCTCCATTTCCCAGGACTTGGTGGGACAAGGGAGCTCTGTGCTCTGGGTACAGAGGGAGCTCCAAGTGCCAGTGGAGTGGGAACCACAACTCATCCAGTTTGTGTTCTTTGGGAGTCAGGTACTGGTCAGACTCCAGTCTATGCCATGGCCAGATTGAGTCTCCTGAAGGGAAAAAAACCACTGGTGTTTGCCCTTCTGGCCTTTCATGAGGTTGCTGTCAAGATGTGCTCTTGAAACCCTTCCCTGAAGGGGAAGCACAGAGGCCTGAGAGACCTTTCCAGTAAAGGAAAAGGCAAAGAAGCCACTGAGTCCCTCAGCCCCAGCATCAGTGTGTGCTGCTGTTAAATTCCCTTCTCCATTCCTCAGCATTTTCCTGCATTTTCCTCCTTCAGCCTTGGCCTCCAAAGCTGGAGACCAAGATCATTCAAGAGTGATTAAAGCTCTTGACATTCCTTGAAGCCACCAAATCCAGGTGAGCTTTGGCTTTGCCACAGGACTGGAGCACTCAGGGTTGGAAATGGCCCCTCTGACATGATGCCCAGGGCAGTCCTTGGTGCTTTGTGACCTCATGGTTGTCCCAGTTAGAACAGCTGGGTCCAGTTCATCACTGTGTGGGTGTGACCCAAACTGTGTATTCTACACCCTCTGTGTCATTTCCCAGGACCTGTTAATAATAGACCATCTGCAGCAGCTGCCCAGGGCACACCTAACCCCTCAGGCTGCCAGCTGGGTGTTAAGAGGCCTGTGAGACAGGAGGATGTTCCTGTCCTCACACCCACGACTCACAATCACCCTGGCACTCCCTACCCTGGGAGAGGTGCTGGGCATTCCTGCCTGAACCTGAGTGGAGATAATCTTGGGGTCTTGGGACTTCTGGTACCACCTGTGGGATCCAGAGGAGGACCTGAACCTTGAGCAGACTGTGACCATTGCTCTCACCAACAGGTTTTTCCTCTCCTTTTACTTTTGGCCTCAGGGGGCCCACATGGGGCTCAGCACGGGGGGCCAGGGAACCCCATTCTGATCGTGCCCCAGGGTGCAGGGTTATACATCTGGGTTTTTGTGGGTTAAAACCAATTGTTTGCCTGTGTGATTGTATTTATTGTGTTATTTTTATTCAATTGTAACTCTGACTGATGATCTCTTTTTGAGTTGGGTTCATTTCTGCTGCTGGTTTACCTTTAAACCAGCACAATGGCCTTCCTATCTGACAGCCTCTCCAAGCTCCTGGAGTGGCTGTGCCACCTTGGGGTGGCACAGACAGCCCTGCTCCAGGCTCTGCTGGGTTCTAGGTCAGGAGAGAAGCTGGGTATGGCCCTGGGACAGGCCCTGAGCCCAGGAGGTGAGCGCAGCAAAACTCACTTGTGAACTTGGGCTGAGCAGCCGGTGCTGGGAATGGCTGGGGAGCAATGTTTGGGTGTGACAAATATTCTGGGCCACCCTCCTGGTCTGTTCAGGCCACCAAGGACACGGATCAGCCTCCTGTCACTGGCACTTGCACGTTTTCAATGCCTTGCACAGGCCCTGGCTCTGCACCACAAACCCTGTGCTGTGAGTCCTTACTGTTCTGCTCACACACTATGAGATATACACTGATGGTTTTCTCTCCCAGGTTCTTTCCATCTCCTCTCAAGCTCTCCCACCTCCCCTGAGCATTTTCCACCACCAGCCTTCTCTCCCCAGCACAGCCCAGTTGGATTGGCCCCACGACTGGGTGCTCTGGGCAGTGACATCACAGCCCCAGTGCAGGCACAGCTGGAGCTCAGGGAAGGTTCAGCCCTGCTGATGGGTGAATGTGCTGGGCAAAAGGAGGAGGAGGAGGCTCTCTGAGTTCCCTGCTCTCCTCTCCAGGAGATCCTGAGAGCTCTGCAGTCCCTCCCTCCCATCCAGTCTCCCCAGGCCACCACAGAAGCTTCTGGTCCTCAGGAGCTCTTTCTGCTTCAGACTCAGGGCCCACCCCAAAGCTGGGGCAGCCAAAAAGCTGTTCTCATTTCCCCTTCATTCCTGCTCTGCTGAGGATGGATCTCAGAAAAAAACCCACAATTTCTTAAGGTTTGTTTATTGCACTTGTGTCACACAAGTTGAAAGGACATGAAAGTAAGGGGGAATAAATATTAGGATTTCTTTGAAGAAAATGACATCAGAAGTAAGGAAGAGAAAAGGAATGTAAAAAAAGACAGATTTGACCTGTTATGACATGCACTAAGAACCACTGCCAGCGGGAAGCAGACAGTCAGTGGCTGCTGGAAAGCATCATCCAGTCATCAGTTTCCCCAGGGCATCCTTGAACTCCTTGTTCCTCAGGCTGTAGATGAGGGGGTTCAGGGCTGGAGGCACCACCGAGTACAGAACTGATACCATGAAATCCAGGGATGGGGAGGAGATGGAAGGGGGCTTCAGGTAGGCAAATGTGCCAGTGCTGACAAAGATAGAGACCACAGCCAGGTGAGGGAGGCACGTGGAAAAGGCTTTGTGCCTTCCCTGCTCAGAGGGGATCCTCAACACAGCCCTGAAGATCTGCACATAGGAGAAAACCATGAAAACAAAACAAACAAATACTAAACAAGTAGTAACCCCAAGAAGACCAATTTCCCTGAAATAGGAATGTGAACAGGAGAGCTTGACAATCTGAGGAACCTCACAAAAGAACTGCTGGAGGGCATTGCCCTGGCACAGGGGCAGGGAAAATGTATTGACTGTGTGTACCAAAGCATAGAGAAACCCAGAGGCCCAGGCAGCTGCTGCCATGTGGGCACAAGCTCTGCTGCCCAGGAGGGTCCCGTAGTGCAGGGGTTTGCAGATGGCAACGTAGCGGTCGTAGCACATGACAGAGAGAAGAGCAAACTCTGCTCCAAGGAAGAAGAAGAGCAAAAAGACCTGGCAAACACATCCTGTGTAGGAGATGGTTGTGGTGCCCCAGAGGGAGTTGTGCATGGCTTTGGGCACGGTGGTGCAGATGGAGCCCAGGTCTGTGAGGGAGAGGTGCAGCAGGAAGAAGTACATGGGGCTGTGCAGGTGCTGATCACAGGCTATGGTGGTGATGATGAGGCCGTTGCCCAGGAAGGCAGCCAGGGAGATGCCCAGGAAGAGCCAGAAGATCAAGAGCTGCAGCTCCCGTGTGTCTGCAAATGCCAGGAGGAGGAATCCACTGGTGGAGCTGCTGTTGGACATTTCCTGTTTTTTGGCGTAAAAGCCTGCTAATAAAATAAAATAAAAGCCCAGGGAACAATTGAGAGAGAGGCTCCTCCGGCAAAGGCACTCCAGTTTTCACTGGAGTACTCCCAAATGAAATGCATTTCCTTTCTCTTGTTTGTGCTGGGGGACACTTGCCCCCCACTCCCTGCCCAGGGCTCTGCTGCCTGGAGCTGTCCCTGCCAGCAGCTTCCTCCCTGGGCCCAGGTTGGGCCCTGCAGTGCTGCCAGAGCCCAGCCCAGCCCTGGGGGCTCAGCTCTGCCCTGCACAGCCCTCCCAGCAGCACAGGGCACTGCCCAGGGGCAGCTCTGCCTGGGCAGGCTCTGATGGCAAAGCCAGAGCAACCCTGAGGAGGCTGCAAAAGCCACACTGATGCTGCCTGGGAGGCACCATGGGCTGCTTCCTGATCCTGCCTGCTTTATTCACCTCTGAGAGAAGACAATTTGGATTTCCAGCATCTCACAGTGAACTGAGAGGTGAATCTCAATTGCCCATGCAGGTAACCCAGAGGAGAAGGTGACAAAAGCAGAATCCTGCCCCTTCCTGCAGCCCCTGCCTTGCTGTGCTCCCTGAACCATCCCCTTGGAAATGTCCTGCAGTTCATGGAGCTGGGATGGAGCCACACCCTGAGCGATGCAGCATCCCCTGCGAGGCAAGAACACTTCCAAGACTTTTAGGCTGCCTCCTTCC